TCTTCCAGTTGTCTCTGATGTGCAAGAAGCGGCAGGGAATCACTGATCCTGGAAAAGCAGAAGGAGGAGAGGCAGTGGCTGGTCCCTGGAGGCCATGGGAGCAGTGAGAGCCATCCAAAATAGGATCTCTGCTGGGTTGTGGAGATAAGTGACCAGCCACCAATGCTCTGTGTGAGGCTGGGGCCATCTGTGAATGTGAGCATGGAAATCTGACCTTGCAAAACAGAGAAAAAGGGGTCCTTGGGTATTTGCCACAGCTTGGAGGGGCTCTGAGTCACCTGCTTCAGTGGAAGGTGTCCCTGCCCATGGCAGAGGGGTTGGATCTAGAGGGTCTTTAAGGTCCCTTCCAACTCAAACTCCTCTGTGAGTCTAAATTACAAACCCACGATGACAAAGAGAACACAGCAAACCTGGGTCCCGCTACATTATTGGAGGCTGCCTTAGTCACTTGTGTCACCCGGAGACTGGTTTGTCTCCAAAATGTATCTGGAGAAGTTTTCATGGTCCCACAGTATTTAGGTGTGACTTTCCTGGTTCAGGGCCCCAGAAGATGCCAGAAGAGATTATTTGCAAGCAAAGAATTGGTTAAACTGCCTGTGAACCTGATGGGAGAAGTGTCCTCATTTATTGCAGTGTTTACCCTGTATAGGTGATACTTGGTTTCCGTTTTGAATATGCAATGTTCTTGCACAATGTTTGTATATGCATTAATACTGGCTTTAAATCCTAATTCCATCTTCACACAAGGATGTATAATCCATCAGGAATATGGAGCCATATTAGCTTTGGGCTTGATGGTATGGGCTGTTTAAAGTGTTTGATGAGTAATGGTAGTTCTAACAAATATCCCTCTTGTTAATTTGAGTCTGTCCTTTATCAACCCTGTTGCATAGAAATCACTTCTTTACAAGCAGAGACTAAATGAAATTCCTTAATACAGATGTTGCAATTGTACAATTCAGGCTGAATCTGCTACTGTGGAAAGACAATCTAGATAACCTGTTTGCTGTACATCCTGGAGGGGGCTTTGCTGTTAAGAATGAAAAGGAAAAAGACATTTCTCTTCATAAGAGTCTTGCAAGAGCTTTTTGTGTTACCAGAAGCAGCTACACTGGTTTTGACCAATGTGGGAATTGAATTTGTGGAGAGTTTTCAGGGCCTGACAGAAGACCCACACAGGATATCTGTATGCAAACTTTGACATAAGAAATACTGATTTAGAAATGCTATGGAGTAGGACAGATATTGTTGAGAGAGAAATGGAGGTAGGAGAAAGTTTCAAAGGATTGTCTTGTAGATAAAACTAGATACTTTGGAGAAACAGAACTATGAATTGTAGTAGGACCCATGAGGGGTAGCTTTAGATTATTGTCTTCAAGGCATCTACAGCATGGCATGGCAAAAAGCTGATAGCCCAAGAAATGCTTCTAGTCTATTGTAATTAGGAAATAGCTTCTGATTGTGATGGCATGAATTCTAGCATCTGTATTGTCTCACCCTTCTCATGAGACTGAAAATGGAATAAAAGTTTTTAAAATGCCTCTCAGTTGCCCCATCTCCGGATCAGTAAAAGAGTAATGTCCAACAAATTGGTGTTCCCATGTCAGGAACAAATAACTCGACTAAACTGTCCGACCTCGGAAAGCCCTGAAATCATTTTTGTAAAGTGTTGCTGAGAGAAGCACAAATCCTGGGATCATAACTCTTACAAAAAGAGAAAAGTTGTATTTCTACCCTCGTTGCTGGCTGAATCAAGATGGAGATCTGACAAGGACTTGCCTGTTGTTCAGTATCAGGTAAGCCTCGGGGAACTTGTTAGGACACGAGATGTCCAATTTGCGTAGAGATGTTTATAAAAACCTTAAAGATCTGGTCAAATCTAATTCCTGTAACATTTCAAAAACCGAGTTAAAACACTTACTATTATGCATTCAGAAGCACTTTCCAGCTACAGTTGAAACTTCTGTGCTTTCACTTCTTCTCTGGGAATTTTTAGAACTATACAAGACTTTTACCATAAACAGAGATCAAACAGCTGCTAAGTTCTGACCAGCATGTTGTACAATGATTGATATATTTAAACATTCTACTAAACCCTACTAAACACTTGGGCTGAATCCCCAGACTCCCTCTCTGCTTTGGCCGTGACTCAAGATCCTGAAATTCAGACTGGGGCTGTGACACTTCCACCCCTGCCACCGTGGTGTACCCCCTGACTTTTGCCATTTTCCGAGCCATGTCTGGGTCCTCCCTCTGTCCCCCCAGAATGAGAACTCTTTGCCCCAAGGAAAAGGCAGGGGAGAGAAAGAGGGAGAAAGTTCTCAACACAAGGGACTCTGCTAGCAAAAGAGAGGATTTCTCTGTTAACATTACAAAACCAATAGCCTCTAGTCGCTGTGAAATTCCTCAGAGGCAATCTTGGATTTACAAGGCTGTGAGGGAGGAAAAGAATACTGAGAGCTCTAGTGATTCTGAAGAAGTTAACCTATTACATACTAGTCCTGCAAAAACAGAAAGAAAACCTACTTTATCTTCTTTTTATTCAGGAAATAATTCAAAAAGACTGACTGATTAGGCTAAGATAAGATGTAAAGTCATACAAGATAAAACCATCTCCCAAGCTATCCCAACTTATTACCCCCAGGGGCACAATGTGAACTAACAAATTCCAAATGAATATATATTTTTAAAAAAACTTTTTAGCATGAATACATTCCCACAGGAAATGTATTCACAGCAAAAACAAGACTTTTTAATTATAGGCAAGGGCAGTAATAAAATTATTCGACTGTCAATTTTTCTAACTGTCATCTCAGCAAATTATAATGCAGAGCTGATGATTTCAGTTCTTACGTTAAATGCTCCAATGGTAATTGAACCAAAAACAACATTAGCTATCATTATTACATTAGCAATGAATATAAATAAGCAAGTTGTATGCCAAGAAATGCCTTTTGAGAGTTCTGGTCCAGTGCCTAATGTCCTTTGGATAAGACGTGTCAGCAATGAACAACCAGAGCTGACGTGCAGTCTAACACACCTTGGTAAAACAGTTCATAGTACAGGTATGCTGGGCACAGGGGCAGATGTCACTGGGATTTCTCATGCACCCTGGTGGTGCAATTGGAATTTGGTAACACCTAAGGGTGCTCTCACAGGAATTGAAGGAGCTAACTTGTGTCTGCAAAGTGAATTCATGATTACTGTTACAGGTCCCAAGGGAAGGACATCAACCATCCATCCCCTTGTGGTGCAGAAGCCCATCACAGTATGGGGGAGAGATGTGTTGTCTGAGGGGGGAGTGAAGATAGAAGTGGGTTTTTGATGAAAACCACAGCAACGCTTGCCACTCTGAAGTTATCATGGAAAACCAAGCAGCCAATTTGGATTAATCAATGGCCTCTTACACAAAGATACTGAATAGTCTCAAAAAAACTAGTAAGTGAACAACTACAAAAAGACCACATCAAACCTACAAACAGTCCCCAGAATTCCCCAGGTTTTGTCATTCATAAGAAAACTTTGGATTCCTGGAGATTGCTCCACGACCTGAGGAAGATCAATGAGATCATAGAGGACATGAGGCCTCTGCAGCCTGGTCTTCCCTCTCTGTCAATGATTCTAAGACACTAGCCTCTTGTCATCTGTGGTTGTTGACAGAGAGAGAAACAAATAACTTTCCTAGGCATCTTCCTAGGAAAGTTGTGAGAACGCTCAGAGAAAGAATTCAGACAATTCTTATCTTAATTGTTGCACCTGGTGTTTGTGAACATTCGGAATGTTTGTACATGATGTTTATGGAAAGATATTTTACCAGAAGATGTTGTTCCTAATTAACCAATGGTGTGAGGGGTGTTATTTAAGAACCAGTCAGGTTCTGGGTGAACCATCCTGCCTATACATTTATGAAATTCCTAATAAATCTCACTTTATTCTTTCTGATCATAGGAATCAATGTCACCTTTCTTCAGCCGTTCCTAACTCAATGGCCATAGTGTACCACAGAGAAACCTAGTCTTAAGTAAGAGCTGTGTGTAAGGTTTCATGGTGTCAGTTCATTGATTTGAGCATAATGCAAATACTAATAGAATAATGGGTGGATAATGTCTTAGGTTGCAAAATGTGTCTGGGAGTAGGTATTCTATTGCCATCTGTTAGGGGTAGGGCAATTTATCTTCTGCTAATTGGGCCACCTGCTAAAACCAGGTGGGGCAGTTCTCTTTATCTCTTCCACAACTGATCCTCCCTCCATCAAATATCTTCTCTTAGTGGGCCATTGAATCTCACTGCATGACTGATAAAATTGCATCATCCCACGGTGAGATGCTCTACCCAGGGGGAAGAGCCGAGCATTACTATCTAGATATAATCTGAGATTTGCAGCACCATAGAAGCCTTTTCCAAATGGATTCCCAGAAGAGCAGCTTTCTTTTCCACTGGATTGCCAGAAGATGACCAAGACCATCTGCACCACCACTGGACCTTCAGAGGAAGACTACACCCTTCTACAGGATCACTGCTTCAACAGAACCACAGCTGTCACACCAAGAAGACTACAGCCACCCTGTAATCGGACTGCTGCCACCTCCCCGACCCTCAGAGTGTCAGGTCATGTTCTGACTCTGTCAGCAGATTTTTTTTTTGTACTATTGCATTTGTATTTTGATTTTCCTAATAAAGAACTAATATTCCTACTCCCATATCTTTGCCTGAGAGCCCCTTAATTTCAAAATTGTAATAATTCAGAGAGAGGGAGTTTGCATTTTCCATTTCAAGGGAGGCTCCTGCCTTCCTTAGCAGACACCTATCTTTTCAAACCAAGACACAGGGCCATGACATTCCACCAGAGGAATCACTGGTGTACATTTCATGGACCTCTCTCAATCCTATTAAAGTATTGTAGTCCTCGTTTAAAACAGACAGGTATGAAACAACTTTGAGAGACAGACTAAAATGGCTTGTGGATTTTTTTTTAAGAATGAGGAAAACTACCCAAAAGGTGTTGTTTTATAACATTTTTAAATATACTACATAAAAATTAAAAACTGCAATTAAATAGAGTTAAATAAATAAGTCCTTTGGTATACAAATGATTAGAAACACAGAAATGTGAATATATGAATGCACATTTTCATAAAAATACAAATTACAAAGGTAAGACTACTTTATTTAGACCTTTTTGCATTGCTGAAGTATTTTCCTTCTGAAGAGAAGCTAGTATTTTGATGAAGAAATCTGTCACATCTGGCAATTAAATTTCCTGATTTCTTCTAGTGCTGGGTAAGACATCCTGGCTGGAAGGTCTGACTGAAGGCAAAGAACTGGCTCTGTGTGGTCTTGAACTGAAGGATGTGTTGACTGAAGACCCAGTACCAGCTCTATTCCATGTCAGACTGGAGGACATGTTGCTTGAAGGCACGGTAAGAGCTCTGTTTCTTCTCATATGGGAGGATGCATCCATTGATGACCCAGTATTGGTTCTGGTTTGTACCAGGTTGATGACTCTGTCCATTGATGACCCCAAACCTGTTCTGTCTGGTGTCACATTGGAGGGTATGTTGGTTTCAGACACACTGTAGAATCTGCCTGGTGTCACACTGGAGGGTATGTTGGTTTCAGAGACACTGCAGCTTCTGCCTGCTACTACAACGGAGGGTATGTTGGCTCCAGGTACGGTAGAGGCTCTGTGGCTAGGCACTCTCCAGCATGCTGGAATAAACAAAAGAATAAAAAACAAATCAAGAGAGAACCTACGTTTCCTGTTAAATACCTCTAACAAGGGTATGCATGTGAAGTACTTCTAAATGTTTGCTCCTTAAGTGCTTATTTGAAACACACCACACCTGATTATTATACATAAATCTTTAATAGACAAAGGACATTAGCACAAGTATCCTTCCCTAGGAAGTGTTGGTTTAGCACTTTATTTGAAGTGCTACAAGTACTTACTTACAGATATCTTTTACCTCTCCTATTAATTCCAAAGCTGTGTTTTTTAATCAAGAAACAATCTTAGTCTGACAAAATTGTAACAAAATTCTGACAAAAATTTCAATGCCTCTGTTAGTTACCACACCCCTTTTTCTTCTGAAAAATGTCTCAAAACATCTTTGTTTGCACTAGATTTAATGATCCCGTATGTCTACAATTAAGTGTTGTTGTATTTGCATACAGAAGTTGTACAGTATGAAGGGAAAAGCTGGCTGGGAATCCAAATCCAAGGGACAATAATTGCTCAAAAAACAGACTTACCATCAGGCACAATAATAGGAACTGGAGGTCCACCAGCTGCTTGCAGTGAAAGGTAAGGCTGAAAAATATCTGTTGAGTAAAAGTAAGTTTTAAAAACCAAGAAATGCACAGAATGGAAACAGTTATGGTTGAAAGGAATGGCTATTACAAAATGTTAATTGTTAATAACAGAAAGAAAGGGAAAAGCCTTTGGTTATTAAAAAAAGAAAGAAAGAGAGAAAGAATGCAATTAAAAGAAGTAATAAAATCAAAAATTCAAAAATCAAACACCCACCCACCTATCTCAACCACTCCCCAAAACCAAAAGAGTCCAAGCAACCAAGAATCCAAACCCAAACTAAAACCACAATGACATCCAAACCCACAAGGTCATGGGACATAGAAAAAACATTCCAGTAATAATTTTAAACCCTGTATAAGCTTTCTCCACCCCCTTCTCTTCTTTAAAAAGTATCACAACATTTCTGTTTGCACTATTTTAATGCTCCATTATGTTTTCAATTAATTGTTGTTGTATTTGCCTACAGAAGCTGTGCAGCATGAAGGGAGGTGCTGGCTAGGAACCCACATCCCAGTGACAGTAATTGCCTAAAAAGCAGACTTACCAGCAGGAGCATAAACAGGAGTAGCAGGTGTATGGGGTGCTTCGGGCCCAACGCTAACCTGAAAAATATCTGTTCAGAAATAGTAAATTTACTTCAGAGGAGGTAAATTTTAAAAAGCGAGGAAATGCAAAGAACTGCAATGGTTATGTTTGCAAGAAAAGACAAAAAATGTTAATGCTTTATAACATTATGGAAGGAAGAAACCTTTTAGGGGAAAAAAAAAAGAGAAAATAAGAAAAAAAAATTAAAAATCAAAAACTAAACACCCATCCACTATTGCTGCTCTGGGAAACAAAAAAATATTCAACCAACCAAGGAAACAAACAAAACAAAATCCAAAAAAGCAAATGGGGACCAACTGAAAAAAAAAAAAACACAGTAGTAATTTTAATCCCTTTGTTAGCTTTCAGTACCACCATTCCCTTCTCATAGATGTGTCAGAAGATTTCTGTTAGCATTGGTTTTAATGCTCCAGTATGTTGACAATTAAGGATTGTTGTATTTGCCTACAGAAGCTGTGCAGTGTGAAGGGAGATGCTGGCTGGGGACCCACATCCAAGTGACTGCCATTGTTGAAAAGCAGACTTACCACCAGGAGGAGGACCAGGAGGTGCAGCAGCTCCTTTGGGCACAAAGCGAGGTCCAAAAGAGTCTGTTTAGAGAAAGTAAATTTACCTTAGTGAATACAAATTTGAAATAAAACACAGAACTTAAGTGGTTATGGTTGCAAGGAAAGGCCATTACAGAAGTGTTAGTGGTGTATAACAGAAAGAAAGGAAAAAGCCCTTGGTAAAAAAAAAAACAAACAGGAAAGAAAGGGAAGTTCCAGGAAGTTATGGGAAGGGAAGTTCTGCTAAGAGAGGAAGGGAGGAAGGGAAGAAGGGAAGAAGGGTGAAGAGAGGAAGGGAGGAAATTTAAAATGGCAATAAAAAATCAAAAATGAAAGATAGATATACCCACCATCAACACTCCCCAAAACAAGAAAAATCCAACCTACCAAGCAACCAAAGCCAAATTAAAACCTAGAATATCTAAGCAAATAGGGACCAATAGTAAAACCATAACAGCATTCATTTTAATCCCTGTGTTATCTTTCACCATCCCCTTTCTCTTCTGAAAAATGGCTCCAAATGTTTCTGTTTGCACTGGTTGTATTGCTCCATTATGCTGACATGTAGGTATTGCTGTATTTGCCTACAGAAGCTGTGCAGCATGAAGGGAGACGCTGGCTAGGAACCTACATCCAAGTGACTGCAGTTGCTTGAAAAGGAGACTTACCATCACTGTCATGAGCATGTGCAGGAGGTGTTCTGACTAGTTGGTGTCCAACTTGACCCCAGAAAGATTCTATGCAGAGAAAGTAATTTTCAATCTAAAAACTGTTTTCATTTTAAAAAACAAGGAAATGCACAGCACTGGTTTTGGTTGCAAGGAAAGGCTGTTACAAATATTGGTTTATAACATAAAGGAAGGAAAATTTTTTGGCTAAAAAAATAAACAAACAAAGTACGAAATATGAAATAGTAAAATAAAAAAAAAAAAAAACAACCATAAACCAAACATGCATCCCCCCACACCTCCATCACTCCCCAAAACAAAAAGAATTCAGGCAACCAAGCTACCAAACCTAAACTAAAACCAAATATATCCAAAGAAATAGGGTTCAATAGAAAAAAACATTACAGTAGTAATTTTAATCCCTGTGTTAGCTTTCACCATCCCCTTTCTCTTCCGAAAAAAGTCTCAGAAAACGTTTCTCTTAGCACTAGTTTTAATGTTCCCTTATGTTTATATTTAAGTATTGTTTGCCTACAGAAGCTGTGCAGCATGAAGGGAGATGCTGGCTAGGAACCCACATCCAAGTGACTGCCATTGCTTGAAAAGCAGACTTACCATCAAGAGCATGTGCAGGAGCTCCAGCAGGAGGTGTACCACCGGTTTCGGGTTCAAAGTGAACTTGCAAAGATTCTGTTTGGAGAAAGTAAATTTTAAAAAGCAAGGAAATGCAGCATACTGGAATGGTTATGGTTGCAAGGAAAGGCTATTACAGAAATGTTAATAATTTATAACAGAAAGAAAGGAAAATCCTTTATTAAAAAATAAAGGAAAGAAAGAGAAAGAAAGAGAAAGAAAGAAAAAGAAAAATAAAGAAAGAGAAGGAAAGAAAGAGAGAAAGAGAGAAAGAGAGAAAGAAAGATAATATAAAAAAAAAATCCCAAAACTAACACCCACCCGCCACCATCACTCCCCAAAACAAACAAAAAAAACCAATCCAACCATTCAAGCAACAAATCCAAACTAAAGCAAAAAAACCCACAATTAAACAGCGACCAATAGGAAAAAAAACTTACCGTAGTAATTTCAACCCCTGTGTTAGCTTTCACCAACCATCCTCTTTCTCTTCTGAAAAATGTCTCAGAACATTTCTCTTTGCACTTATTTTATTGCTCTCCATTATCATTACAATTAAGTCTTGCAGTATTTACCTACAGAACCTCTGCAGCATGAAGGGAGATGCTGTCTGGGAACGCACATTCAAGTGACTGTAATTGCTTGAAAAGCAGACTTACCATCAGCATCAGGAGTAAGAGGCTCAGCAGCTAGGGGTTCAAAGTGAATCTCTGAAGATTCTCTTCCTGATGTTAATGCGTCAACTTTGGAAGCTGTCAGTGAGTAGAGATCCATAAAATGTTTATGCACGTGCTTTAAATAAAAGTAGAAGGAATCATTAGCGCAAGGCAAGCTACACTTAAATGCCAAATAGCACACATCCAAATTTTTTACAAAAGACAGAACACTTTTTTGAGCAAAGAGATCAAATACAGTTTGTCAGCCAGGTAGATAGTCAGTCCCAGGATTTAAGCATCAAAAACATCTAACAGTGGATTTTGTATTTTTTCTAGAACACTGAATATTGATATCATTGAGGAATAGGGAATGAGTCCACACCCTAGTTAGAAGATGCTTTGATATGATGTTTTCAAGCATGCAGTACAGCACTGAGCTCTTGATACAATTTTTTTCATTTTATTTCAATACAAGACTTAGTGTAGGTTCAATTTCTGTTCACCAAAAGTTACCACACAGTTTCAGGCTCATGTTCACACTTCCAAGATGAGTCAATTTACTAATCCTTCCACTCCACAGCAGAAAAAGTAACTTGGCAGTAACAAAAGAAACATTGCAAACCTACGGACCTCTGAAAACAATCTGATTGCACTATAACTGGAAAAATGTAACTATTTCCATGTATGAAGTGGAAGAATGTCCCAGTTTTGTTATATTGATTGGATTGATGATAAAATTAGCAGAACAAGAAAGCACAGATGATTTGGCAGTTCTGGTAACTTTATATCTATCCTAAGTAATCTCAACTAAGTGTTGAAATTATTGGTCTTCTTTACAATGGTTAATCACATTTTATTTGTTATAATTTTTCCCTTCAGATAGTATGACACTGGTCTTTTGAACGTAAACTTGTGATACAGGCAAAAATCAGCTTAGTACCACAAACAGGGATTTACAAAGATTTTTGTAGGTCTTTCATTTCCTTGGTTTCACACTGCTGATTTTCAGAATAGATGTTAACACAGCCAAAATCAATCAGGTTATTTCATTGTGGTTTCTAGGAAACAGCAGTGGCAAACTAACCCATATCACATCTTTTGTCATCAGAAAGAATCTCCAAAATGTCCTGGTGCTGTGGTTCTGTTTCTGAAAGAGGATTCTTGCAGATTATAAGGCCTTTAATTGAAATGTGCTCACCACAGACTGAGGCAGTTCTAGAGGATGTGCCTGCAAACAACTCCACTGCTTTTAATGATGAGTGTTCCTACAGTGATTCCTAACTCTTTACCTCAGTCCAGATTGCAGGCTTGCATTTATTACTCTATTGGCATAGAGTAAAACTAAAATCCATTAGGTGACCTCTGTCTATAAAAGGCAAATTTTGTAATAAAACCTCAATAATGAGCTTGGAAAGGAATCAAACAGGAACTAGAGATGAGGGCAGAGGAGAGAGAGAGGAAAAAGGGGGAGAGATGGGGAAAGGGAGAAGGAGGAAAAGGGATGGAGAAAAGGAAGTTCACAGTGACACAGACTGTGAGCCATTGGTGCTGTTTGTATGTGTCCTGAGTTACCAAGTGCACCTGAGGCTGCCAGGTGAACAAGAACTTTACAATTCTGCCCCAGCAGTAAGCTCCCCAGCACGTATTCTACTATGTGAGTTATACCACAAGCACTTTGTGCAAATATGAAATGCAACTTTTTGTGTTTCTGATTCTCTTCCAGAGAGAAAGGGGGAACAGGCTGCAGTTGCTTCTGCAATCATTGTGAGGTCAAAAAGAATGAGAGCTGGGGTGGGATAAAAAGAAAAAAAGAAGCAGCATCCACTACCAAATTAGAAAAGCAGGATTTAAAAGTTGGTGATTGCCACAATGCCTCCTATGAAAAGATGCCACCCATGGAACCTTTTGTGCGGCTCTAAAATAGATCATCACTGTACTGGGGAAACATTTGTAATTCTACCCTTTGACAGAAAAGTTCATCTGTGCTAATTAAGCTTCATGGGAATCTCAAAGCACTACATATTCCATATCTCCGTCTTTTAGTGTGAAAACACAAAAATGCACATGTAATTTTATATTTTTATCAGGCATGAATGCATGCAAGAGAACAACAGTGAGAATTTTCCTGCTTAGAATCCGCCTTTCTTGAATGTTTGATTTTGTGACCCTGATCCTGCAATTATATACTGCATTAGAACAGCCAATCTACAACAAATTGGAAGGCATTACTGCAGAAACTTACACACTGTATGCAATACTTACTTTGCCTAAGATCATTGCAATTTACTTGATTACCTGCTCTCTCTCTAATTCAGACAGAGAAGTACAATTTAAAAAATATATTCTTACTCTGCCTTTTGTTCTCTCATTGGATAAAAAAATCTGTCTTGGCACTTATATATTCTGCACAGCTATAAAGACTAATAGATAGTTTCTGGAGAAGACATCAAACTTAAAAACAATGAGGAGGCATTGCTCTGAATCTATGTTCAGAGCTGAAAATATGGCACATTTTCGGTTAATTTCTTTTTTTTCTCACTCATTGTTTTGTCCTAACAAAATTAGTATTTTGAAATATGCAAGTCTTTAAACCTACATGAGCAAAATAGCTTCTATATTTAAACATTCTAAAGAGCAGTTTCTTTCAAATGAGGAATGCTCAAAACCCCACAATTTTTTCTAGAACTATGGGTTGAAAATAAATCTGATACTGACCATGAAGGAGTATGAAAATCTTGTCTTTTTTGTTTGGTTGGTTTTGTTTGTGAGGATCTTACTTGGTTTTAGTTTTGTTTGTGTGTTTTTTGTTTTTTTTTTTTTTTTTTTTTTTAATTAGTCTTGTGTATATTAATGGGAAAAATGAGAGGGAGATAGAGGGATATTAATTTTCAGGTACATATCCTTCTGCCCATGTTTGTATTCCCATCAGTTATTTAATGTTGTAACTGGAAAATTAAAAGTTACCATCATCTCTGAAATACCATTTGCAAGAGTATACATGGAAATTGTCTTTCAAGTGTTGACTGCAACAGTTTTGAAGCTTTTTGCTCTCCACATGCTCAGAGCAGTCTATCTGCCTGTTGTGTCTCAGATGCCAAAAATGAAAGAAAATTAAAACATGAAAAAACGAAACAGGATTTGTTTTAGACTCTAACTTGGAATGACATAGCCTCTGGCCTGTCCCTCACTGCTTCCTCTGAAAGGATCTCCAGCTGCAGGCTGGGGAGCGGCGTGGCTGCTGCAGCTCCTGGTGCCATGACCTCCTCTCTGGCCTAAAGGGCAAAAACCCCAGCATCAGTGGTAATTCTCCTTCAGACACACCAGCTAGGATGAGCTGGGTCCCCTTGAGCCCCTTGAGTGGACTTGCATTGATCACTGGACCTAACATCCATGAATAAAGTACAACTGATTGAATTCTCATTGCAAATAAATCTCTAATTCACAGTGCTGGGAGAGAATGCTACAAAACCAATTAAAAAAACACTTTGCCCTGGTCAGAAAAGAGAAAGGCCAAGGACATGGCACATACGTATTACTGTAAAAACACGGTGGTTGCTGCATGACATTCACTTTCAAAGTTTGAAAGAAGCCAGTTTGAAGATAGTGGTGGCACAAAGGAAATTTTCTACAGCACAGTTTGCTGTAGGTGAAACATGCAGTTTAGGTTCTGTCACTTTCCATGAACATTAAAGGAGAGAGACTTGAAAAAGATATCTGAAAATATAATTAGCAACAGTTTTGGTGAAAGCAGAAACTAAAACAGAGAATCTCTTTGTTGCTAGGAATTAAAGATGTAGTAAGGGAAATCAACACTCCAAGGTAATGAAAACACTTCTTTTGCTCTATGCTGCTCTAGATTAAAAACAGTTATGAAACCATCTGCCATTAGAGCTAGAGTTGGAAACAGTCCTTTCTCCTAAATAATCAATATGTACATCTTTATTGGACCTTCAAATAATCCTATACCAGGACACAATTGTACAAGTCAGGGGGAAAACTTGATATTACTACTAAGTTTAAAATATGATTGTAAAAAATACCACAGAAGTTTCTGACCACAGATTATGATTTCCTGCCTTTTCTTTTCCTATTGATGATGTTTCATAGGTTAAAGGAGCAGACATAAAACCAAATGTTTTCTGGCCAAGTATGTGACCTCTCATTATTCAATAGAGGATTAACCACAACACTTGCCAATTTTTTGTGTGTTGCATTAGTCTTCACTTGTCAACCAGAAATAATGCTCACTGAGGGAAGGAAAGTGAATTTTGGCATAACTTTTAGATTTAGAACAAGTTGTGTGTGTACTACAAACTTGCGTCTTATTTCACTGTGGTTTCTTAAGATGGAAGAAGTTGAGGGGGGAAACTTCAACACTAAGGAAAGGAATTTGCTTTGCAACAACTTCTCTCTTCCCCCAAGAAGAAGCAGTTCTAAGGCTTTGGCATGTTTGGAAACACAAATCAGAAGGAACACTTCAAATTCTTACCTCATTCAGGGTGGCCTCCACAGCTTTCATATGATTAATGATCAACTCTTTATCCCTGTTGTAAAAGAAAAAACAAAACAAAACAAAATAATGCAGTAACTTTATGGAACTGAAGATCTACCAATGTAGAAATTAATCTTCTGCTACTTTATGGCTGTCATGTCTTGTAAAATAATTGTTGATAACTCAAACTGTTAGGATTTTCTCTCTTTTTCATATCTCCAGTTCACACCCTAAAAATATTTAATGTACCACTATTTGGTGCATTTCCATATGAAAGATGCTTCTGTTGAGGATAAGCAATTCAAATAGATGTAATAATAGGCCTATCAATGAACAACTATCGTGGCTGGGGTACAGAGGTCATAAAAAGTCTCTAGGTACGATGGTATTATATTCTTGTATTGGAAAACACAGACAGATTCTGTTTATTTCATCTGCTTTGTTTATATGTTCCAAAAGGAGAAAAAAACCCTATTTGTTGTGAAGAGTTGCTATAATAACAAAGGAAAGGGTAGCTTTCTTTGTTGATACTCAGCTGCTCTATACAGGGAAAAAATTCCAGTTTTAAAGTCACTTCACATTAAAATAACCTCTACTGGATATATGTATGGCCACAAGGAATGCTCTTTACTGAAATGCCTAAAATAGATTGTGGCAGGATGAAAACAGAATGCTTTCTAGAACAAATCCTTCTGCAGGTGACACCTGCTTTGATCAAATCATACCATCATTTGGTATGATTTGATAATTTTAATTACCTTGTTAAACATCTTATTGAGGACTATGTGAATTGCATTATTTTCCTGGTGCATAAAATCCTTAAAGCTTCTCACACGTTCTTCAGAGGTTGAATGATCCCAGGTATAATGAGAAATTTCAATTAAGTAAAATTTTTTTAGTACCTAGCCATGGAACAACAATATTCATAATAGGTATTTAATGCTTTGTAAGTATTAGAAAACGAAATCTGCAAAGATTTATTTTTTCATATGGTGCAAAAATAGCTCAGTAATAACCTCCTTCAAGTCAAGGGGGCTCCTTTTGACTACCAATCTTTTCAGGACCAGTGCCTGAGCCTTTCTTTTCACTCTAGGTTGTTGTGTAGTGGTGTGGGGATTAGGGCTAAATCCAAAACTCCCTGAAATCAGCAGGAAGATCTATCTTGTACCACAGGAAAGGCGAGGTCCAAAATGGGTTCCAGCCCCTTTTGTGGCAAAGACCTGTCCCCTAGCTGAAGCTTCTGTATTTACTATAAATAAATTGTATCTGTCTACAAAAAGATGGTGTGGAAACACAGAGAACAAGCAGTCATTTCTTAAATAAACAAAACTTTAAGGATCTGTGAAGGAGATGTTGTCAGAGCAGTCAGATAGCACAGGTATTTTGTTTGCCAGTTATTTCAGCACCCAGAATTTGGAGCACTATTATGGGATAACTGCATAAAATGTATGACCAAGTATTTTGAACTAACACTTTTGTTTTCAGAAGACTATCCCTGAATTTAAAAATAAAAGAGACGGATGTACTTTTCTAACCTTACACTGCCTGTGGAACAAGGAATTGAAATTTTTATTCACTTTAAGTGACATGCCCCAGGCCCCAAGGGCTCACTTTACTCCCAGTTTGAGGGCAGGTTCTGCCTCCTCGAGAGTCTCCCGCAGCCGCTGCTGGTCCTGCTCTGTGTCTTTCAGGAATCTCTTCTGGTGATCCAGAACTTGGTCTCTGCTCCTCAGCTCCTCTGTTGCATTAGAGAAGCTCTGCCAGCAGACAGAGAGCAGAGTTACTCTTTAGCCCAAATAAACTTCACTTTATGCCATTGGCTACAGACCAGCGTGGAAGACAAATTGATTGCAAAGTAGATTTGGACCACTGCATACTAAGGTTTTATGAATTTCCTAGCTAAAGCATTACTGACTCAGAACCCTCCTAGTTTTTAGCATATTTGCTATGTATAAATGTGTTTTAGAAAACAAAATGATTGTAGGCAAAAAAAACCAGAACAAACCCCATTTAAGACTTTTTCTTAAACTGTTAAAAGTAAAACATAGATAACTTTAAAATTAAAAAAAAAAAAAAGTCTTTGAAGTGTTTCCTCAGTAGCCTAAAATTCCAGACTGAGTAGTGTGTGTGTGTATTTACTCCTGTTACTTTATTTACACAAGGACTGCACTATCTGGCTTATTTAACAAAAGGTAAAATTCTTTTGAGTTTTCCAGAAGAATAATCTTACCATCAGAGATACATTGGAGACTTGGCTTCTATCTGTGTCAATAAGTGAGCACGATTCCAGTTTATTACTCAGCTCCTGAAGCCGTCGCTGGTATTCTTGTAAAAGCAATCTTACCTCCTGCTCACGCTGCAAAGCATTTTCTAACTCCTCATGTATATTATCTTGGCTGATTTTCTGGAAAGAGAAGCAAGCTGTGCCTGATTCTGTAATTATATTCAGTGGTTTCCCTACCAGTGAGTTCCACTTGCAAATATACAAAATTCTGAAACAAATGCATGCTTAGGATTAGTGTTTAAGTTTTTTTAACATGAAGACAGATCACTGAACAAGAAGACGACAGACCAGTTAATTACTGTGTTTTTTATGAAAAGCATTCATGTAAAGTCTTGGCACTCATTATTCTATTCAAATTAGTACCCTAGGATGACAAACCTCAATACTTAGAAGGAAAAATATGCAGATCAATGTTCAAAATTTTAGTGATAACTTATTAACCCTTGTAAACACCTTTGTGGACTGTTCTTCTCCTCCAAAAACTGTTACAGAAAGAAGAAATAATTTTTCAAGGAAAGTTGTTATCTGCATTTCAACTACAATCTAAAATGTGATAATTTTCATCTAACAGTCCCAAAACATTAAGGGAATAAAACCTGTCAAGAACAGAACTGAAGATGATTAGATATTTTTGAGTAAAAAAATAAAAATCCATTTTACTAGCTAGGAACAGGAAGGACAATGGGTGAGACATCTAGCTGATATTCTCTACTTGGAAGTGTTTGGACTGGGACAAACTACCAGGTTCTACCAACTAGGCTTCGGGTTAGGGGACCCACAGTGTTTCAGTAAGTCAATCAGCAACAGCAAAAAATTCAGGGGAATTTTGTGTTTTTGTGCTACTGAGAATGTAGGAAAAGCCTTTTTTCCTTCTGCCATAAAGTTACTTCTTCGAGAAACAGACCCACTAAAATTTGTATTGTATTTATTATAACATTCATCAACATCCATACAGAGTTTAAACTGCTATATTTATATTTCATGAATTTCTCACGAACATTCTTATCGAATACCCTCATTCTAGCTGCCTTACTCTGTTGAAGTAAAATCTTCTTTTAGGATAGATAAATCATCACATCAACATTTCCAACAAATGGGAGAACTTGGACTGCTGAAGACCAAACTGCAATTTATACAGGATACCTCCTTCTACAAATCAAAAGGAAACTCCAGTGGAAAATGGGGCTTTCTGAATACATCTGTTTTCTAGTTTAGTGATATTTACAAGGTAAGGTTTCTGGAAAAGTCTGGTGGAAGTAAATAATTTTTATGTTTGTTTTCTAAAAGGACACAAATCAAAAATGTGAAGAAAGGAGAATCTCTTTGAAGCAAGAGAGCCTCCAAATCAAATGCACTTACATGCTGAAGTTCATTTAATTGCTCTTGCAGTCTGTGGGCTTTTTCAGCATCTTTTCGCATCTCATTGAAAGCCCATCTGCATTCTGCCAGCTGCAGCTGCAGGGAGCGGGACTCTACCTCTGCTGCATGAAGCCTTTGTGAAAATTCAAATATTTCTTGCTGCAAGACTGCTATGTTTCTCTGTCAGCAAACAAAAACAAGTTGATGGGCTATAAAATCTGCTATGTCAGCAATAAAATAAATCATATTTAAGACCCAAGAAAATGAAGACAAAACTATCATTTTTTCCTCCACCTCTAAAAGACATACACAAGGGCAAAATTTGAACCTGTCACCTACCAAACTCACCAAGGACTGCTGCAAATTCTGTTTACAAAGAAGTACTATTTACACCTAAAGTCTACAATAAAAGATTGTTGGAGAAAGAATTTATCCTTTCATTTTGGTTAAAGGGAAGAAGGTTATCTTAACTGAAAGAAAGGATAGTAAACATGAGAAAGTAGAAAACCATAATAAAAAGCATCCTTAACATTTACATCAAGACAAAAGCAAATTTGGTCTTATAAGCTATTACAGATCTGATAGAACTTGAAAAAAAATCTTTTTCTTGGATACACTAAACATCCTCCAAAAATTCTTTGTCAATAAAAGAGAAGACCTATTCACACCCTAATGTGTGACAAATCAACTTCTGAGTGCCCATATAGTGGTACTTCATTGTCATGGACTAAATGGTGCTATCAAGGGAGCTTCACTGCTGCTGTAAGCCTTCTGTTTCCATGAAGGAGGACTGTAAATCTGCTTACTGTGCTGGGCAGTCTGTCATACAATCCACCTTCCAAGGCCTGGGCATTTACTCTGTGGAGCCCACAAGCCAGCCTCTGTATCAGGGAGTCTCTCTCCAGGTAACCTCTGCACCCAGAAGGTTTCCCTTGAACTGTCTCCATCAGTATGCTCAGGTTGTCCATCAGTTTTGCAAAGCAGTTCCTGGCTACACTGATGAGTGAGTGTCCAGAAAGCCAGGAGTATGCATCTTTAAGAAACAGCAACAAAAAGAAAACATCAAGCAGGTTATTACTTTCCATTTCTTGTAATAACCCGTTCTTTTTAATTTATCCAGGATGGAACCAGTAAATATTCTGAAACACAGAATACTGAATCTGAAACACTGTTCAAACTTCGCTTTTTGAGGATATTAACTCAATTTATTGAAAACAGCATGATCAAAGAAGAAAGTTCCTGAAACTGAATCTAAGCACATTTGATTCAATGACAACTTTTATACCAATTTAGTATTTAGCCTTCTGGAAAATGCACCACCTTGTCTTTCTCCTGCTAGTTCCCTTTATTCACATAAATTATCCCTCTTCTAATATCCTTTTTTTCTGTGACAAAATTGTGGGGATTCTGAAACTAGAGATTAATAAAGAACCAGGGATGGCAGCAATGCAGATGAACCAAGGAAGCCTTTATCAGTTTTCACTGTAAATAAACTCCAGAAACACTCTCCAGCCTTCTGCTTCCATGGCTATAAAATATATATAAAATATCCTATCAGCTGTTAAAGAAAATGAATCTGTTCCAACAGTACAGAGATGTGATCATTCAGAGAATGTAGAAGACGGTTATTATTTTACCCTGCAATAAAATTACTCCTTCAGGGAAACAGCCCCACTAAAATTTGTATTGACTAGGTCAGGATATAACCTCTCATCAAAGGTGTGTATCATAATATTCAGAAATATCTCTTCAGAGCTACGATCCAGAATAGTTTAGATAAAATCACAAAAATAGAAATGACATGACCACCCTGACTTTTTTTTTTGTTTTTTTTTTTTTAAATATTTTTCTGCTACAATAATATACTATTAAAATTACCTTGTTTGCAGAGAACATCCTCCAGTTCAGAGACGGAGCTGATTATTGCAGTATAGAGGTTAGAGCTAGTCAACCAATCAAGTGCTTCAATACAGTCAACTCCTTCCTCTTCAAAACCTGGGAAACAGAATTGCAGCTATCAGGATAAGTGGATCACTAAGATATGGCACACTCCAGCTCTTTCAGAAATTAACCAAAAATAAGCATAGAAACAACAAATTAGTCAAGACAATTTAGACCATTTTAAGCATGCTTCCAGAATTACTAAAAAAACCAGTAGATTAATCTTCTAATTTGCAAAACATTTTTGATACCATTTATCCTTGCAGAGGGAAGTATAAACTGATCTGGCAACAGAAAGGGGCAAGTAGACATAGTCTCTAAAGAAAAATTCAAAATCCTATGCTAATATTTTACTTGAATCAAAAAGCCATTTTTGTGGGTTTTATTAGGAAATAAATATTAAAAATTATTTTAAAAAGAAAAGGAAATACCTTTTCTAAAAAAAAAAATTTAAAAAATGGTGACAGTTAATAATTTAGGAACATTGCAAGATATTTACCACAGAGAAGATGCTGTAGCACCTAGTTCTGAAATTCATAACACAAATATCAAAAATACCAGATAGTGTTAAATTCATGTGCATAATTGCAATTTTACCTGCAATGCTTAATATAAGACTAGGCATTTCCTCTTAGAGTGAAATACATTTGTCAAGCAACATAAAAAACATAAATAATATTTGTCCAAATATCATTAACTATGTCTTTATGTCCCAGCAATAATAATAATCTTGCTCTTTGTTATTCCTTAACCATATAATTTGTCATGAGAACATTTCACTTACGTGACACATGCCTGCCTCTGGATTCTCCCACACAAACTTGAATTCCAGTGCATCCTCTGGAGCCATCTGTCCAGACGAAAAAGGTGCCAGAATATCGGGCCAGAGCCCTCAGCCTGTGAGCGGCCAGAACTGCAATCACAGCTCTTCGGAAGACGTAAATCAGGTGCTTGGCTCTTCTCTGCCCCAGCCTGCCTTCAACTTGGCTGTTTCCCACATTAGTAGGGAGAGCATAAAGGAGGCTGATGATCTTCTGGTTCAATAATTTGTGCTGGTTCACCTGTTCCTGGAGAATGTCTCTTTGGCAAGACACAGAGCACAGTCTGCCGTAGAGAGGACACAGGGCCCCTGACAGCAGTGCACAGGCTGCCAGCAGGGATAAGCGTGCTTTGTGAGCATTTGATAATGTGTTTGTCATGGAATTGTTTTCGTGGGCCAGTTTCTCACGGATTTGTTCGAGGCCATACAGTTTTTGCCTGGTTTTCTGCACTGTTTCTTCACATTCCTGCAACAGAAACAAACCAAAAACTAAAAGGAAGAAATATGAACTAGATGGTTTTTACCTAGACAAGAGCAAAAAGAAAATTCTTAGCTTTGCCATTCAAAAAATGTATTACAGGAGTAAAAAAATTGTAGTAATGGTGGGGATGAAAGTATCTCCTTCTAGTAAACTATTACAGAATCAGATATATGAAACCAAAGCAATGGTAGAAGGGAAATTTACATGATCATCAACTGCAAATTTAACTCCTGATTTCTAACAACAATCCACCAATATGGTGACAGCTCACAGAAGGTCCAACACCGCTTCTCTGCCCACAATACAGTTTTATGAGTTGACTTAACACTAGTAGTAACATCCTCCAATTTCAGGGAGAGCACTGCTCTACCAAGCAGAAAGCCAGTGTAAGTGAGAGAAAAAAGGTAAGGAAGGCTGGAACGTGACGCTAGACAGATTAAATTTTTCAGCATGCAAAGACTTCCAGTCCTGAAATCTGCACCAATTACAGCCTTATTCTTTGAAGTTAAGTTGCAGCAACTCACAAATAACAAGGGACATCTATTCCCTTTATTCACAATGCTTTTAATTGAAACAGGTGTGAAGGAATGTGATGGTAAAGACAGGAAGTGGTGGTTGTGGAATAACAGGTAACATTTTGGGTTGCAAATAACTCATCTAACAAGCAGTGGCAGTTTCACACTTTAAAACCACTTCTCACTGTAGTAGTACTAAAGCAGAGTCACTTAACACTTGAAATCTACCACTGTTCTTAGGGTCAGTACAAAGGTAATTAAATTTATCCACAGGTAACACCACATTATTGTTACTCCATACCATCTCTGCAAATGATGATGCTGAAAAAGTAGCTGCTGCCCTCAGCAATTCTTAAAAAAATGAAATCTGATCTTACAGCTTTAGCATTCTCAGAAAAAAAAATAAATTCTACCACTATAGATGAAATCAGGCTTTTCAGCTGAGGCCGTAGACCAAATTCTCTTTAACAAATGCTTCAACAAGGTAATTTATTTCTTAAGTGATGTCAATATTATCACAGTGATGAGTTGGTTTGTTGTTTGGATTTTTTTACTTTAAAAATATACTAATGTTCCCAAATGACCTTAAATTGCTAAGGGCCTTAAACTACTGAAAGAACCCATTAAATGTTACAAGAAAAAAAAATTAGAAGTTCCCAGCACCATACCTGTGCTCTTGCATGA